CAGGGCCATCCCCGCAGGGGGGCCTCACCTGACCCAGGGCCATCCCCCTTGGGCCTCACCTGACCCAAGGCCTGCAGCGAGGCCTTTCCTAGTCCTTTCCTATGCGCCAAGAGGTATCACAAAGAAAAATGACCAAACTAAACCCCACCCACAAAAACAAACAGGCCACCAAAAGAACAAAACAGGAAGCACAGAGAGCGTGTTCCCACGTGTGTGAAACACAGGGACCCACAGTGGTGTGCGCACCCGCAGAGATGCACAAACTCTGCTACGTGGCTGCCCGCCTGCAACCGTGAGGAGACTCCGCTCATGCCCTTTCCCCCTCTCACATTTTGAACCGTATAGATACATTATTTTAAGCATGTGTCAATTAAATTTTAAACAAAGATTCCGTGAGACTCCTTCAGAAGGCTGTCAGGCGAGACGTGGAGGGTAACCCCGTGGTCCGGGGGTGGCAGACGAGTCACAGAACGTCAGTCAGAACTGCCGAAGCCCGGAGCGGCGACAGACTTCACGGGGAGGATGTGTCCTCTGGTCTGGGGGCAACGGGCAATCTCATTTGTCTCGGTTAATGAGAGGAGACTTGCATCCCCCCGGGGACAGCTGGCTCCTGGTTTGACAAGGTGATCTATTAGCGGCAGGCCCGGAAGGTCACGCTGGTGGCCTTGCCCAGAAGTTCCCCCTTTGCCAGTGACTCGGGGGAAAGCTTGTGGGCTCCACTTTGTGGCCCAGCTGCCCTGATCCCCTGGGGCACTTCATCCAAAAATCCCCACGGTCCTGGACTCTTCCCAAAGGGAAAACGTCCACTTTCTTCTCTGGGGAAACACCGTTGATGGGGAGAGGAGAGAACAGCCCCAGACCCCAGTCCACTGGGGTGTGACCTGGAGAGTCGCTCGTCCCTTCCAAGCCTCAGTCGTCCCGACCGTAAAGCGCAGGCCTCGACCTCTCCTGGGGTGAGGGTGGGAGCCGAGGGAGGCGATTCACGTGTGAGCCCAGCACGTGCCCGACACTGGGCAGAACGAATCAAAGCGTGCAGCGTGCCGTGGGGACCCCCTTTTTGCGATCCTGGTCTTGCTTACTCTACTCGGACCAGGACCACTGAATGATCCTGACCCACTCACTGCCTCACTCACCCCTCGTGCTCCTTTGAGAGTCCCGAGAACTGGCTCGGGGGCAGCAGTGTCCCCCAGCGACCAGGAGAGACTGACCGTTGCTCGGGGAGACTCGGGGCTGGGATTCCCCACCCTCACCGGGTTACCCGTCTCTGAAACCTCAGGTCCATAACGTGTCAACAACCCGGCAGCCCTGCTGAGGCCACGAGTCCCATCTCCTTCCTCAGGGGGAGGAGGCCCAGCTCAACGCGGGAACCACTGGGTTGCGCCGCGTGGAACATTACAGCCAGAAAAACAGAATGGAGGATCCGACAGGTCAGAGGTGAAAGTGCTCAGGGATGGAAAGTACTACAGCCAAGGCGCCGGTGCTGTCCCGTTAGCAACTGCCTGCAGCTCCGCGTCCGCATGCCGTGGCCGACGCTGGCCAACGGTCCCCGGAAACGAGCTCCAGCCCAGCACGTGGCTTGTTAACAGAGGCCCCTTCGCTGGATTCCTAACCCGCGTAACCTTTCCTCCTTCTAACGTTCACCAGAGAAACATGCACAAGCAGGAAGCCATTTTTCTTTTGCCTTCGGGAAAAAAAGTACCTGAGAAACTACAGGATTCCAGGGACAACAATGCTTGCTACTTGTCCAAACCTTATCACAATCGTGGGAGAAGCCCTTTCCCCCAGACTCTAGCTGTGAACGGACGCCCCGGGGCCAGGGAAGCTGCAGGAGTCTCATGGAACTGGAAGTCCGTTTACCTTGAAAGTCGTGGCAGACTCGGGACTGGCGAGAACCAGCGGGGAGATGAGAACCATGCCGGAGAAGTGGCCGGGCCTCTCTGCGGCCGTGAGGATGGTGATGGCGCCCCCCTGCAATGAGAACGGGCAGCATGTGGGTGTGGGCGTCGCCAGCGTGGGCTCTTAGCCGCCCCATCGCGGGTCTCCTGCTGGGCTGCAGTCCCGGCCCAGAGCCCCAAGGACGGTACCTTGGAATAGACACCCTCAAATGTTGGATAAACTAGACCTGCAATTACTTGCTTTCACATGTTTTTTCCTCCGGGTTTTCCAACAGCAAACATTTCAGGGAGATCTAAATAAGGTTCCTGCTTGTGGGCTGCAAGTTAAACAATAACATGTTTCTATTTCATTTCAAGCCCAAAGCTGGCAGACTCCCAACTCACCCATTCCGTCAGCCTTAACACGAGATCTGAAAAAATCTGATGATAATAAGAGACTGCTACCCTTTTTCTGTTTTCCTGGTTCAGTAAAGGTCCCAGAAATTTAGGCTCCAAGAAGAATAGTTAGAGAGCGCGGGTGGTGCTGAAGGCGTGCGGCCCTGGCTATTTGCTGAAGCTGAAGGTGACCTGCACCCAGGGCTGACACCACACACGCTCACGAGGGCCAGGCAGGTAACAGACGCGCAGGAACAGAGCCCGGCAGTGACCGGGCTGGAAGGGAGGGAAAAGTCACCCAGCTTTCAAAACCAAGCAGCTCAAAACGTTCTTTGCCAGCCACTGGGGCGGGGGTCTAGAGGCGGATCCGGCCTGCATGCTGCCAGCTTGAGAGCCCTGATCTATACATTATAGTTGGCTGATCCTTAGGGGGTTAATGGATTTAAAAGGTGAAAGGGATTTGCAATGACCTTGAAGGACTTGTTTCCTCTGGAACCCCATCCTAATTCCCATGTGCACTGTGTGACTCTGAAACGGGCAGGACGCGTAGGACCTCTGTTTCTCCACAGGCTGACTGAGGGGCCCTCCTGCCCTGAGACGCGCCCGCGGCCGTGCAGGGAGAAGTACCCTTGGGGCCCCACCGTGAAGTGGCGCCTTCCTGGCGCCTTGGGCCCTGGCAGGAAGGAACGGGCGGAGGTGAGCTTCTCTGGGGCTGCCTCCAAGATGCTGGCCCTCGTTTCCTGAGCATAAATTGTCTGGGAACTCCCAGAGGGGGCTGTGCTGGCCAGGCAGAGTGCGATGGGGCCAGAGGCAGGGCGGCCCCCTGCATCCCGGGACCCTCACCCTCCACCCACCGCAGGGCTGGGGCTGGGGCCCGGCCTGACTTAGAGGGCTCTTCCGTGGTCTACTCACCATGGAGTGGCCCAGGAGGAAGATGGGAAGCCCTGGGTGGTCCTTCTGCACAACGTCCACGTGCTGCAACACGTCCCTGATGAAAACCTGGAAGTCAGACACCACCATCCTCTCCCCCTCGCTCTGCCCGTGGCCAACTGGAAGAGAACAGGAAACAGAACCAGTTACCAGAGGCTGACTCCTGCCAAGCCCAGGGGTCTCCTCACGGAATTACAAGCCACTCTTTAGGGAGGACCCACCAAGCCCTTGCAAGAACTCTTGACCGTGGGAACTCTTCTCCCCCATTTTACAGACTAGGAAGTTGAAGCACAGAGAGGTTAAGGAACGTGCCGAAGATCACACAGCCAGAAGTCATGAGCCAGGATGTGAACATCACAAAGCCTGTCCACGCAGCCAGGATGCCTTCCTTGTGGCCGTATCCCAGGAAAAAAGAAAGGACAGGCACGTGGAGTCCCACTAGGCCTCGTTTCTCCCCAAGTGGCCAGAAACAAGACGGATGAGGCTTGGAATTCCCTGGGCTTTCCCAAGTCCTTGACCCTCGCAGTTGTGTTTCCAAGTGTTAGCTTTTCACCAGGTAAAGTGCTGCATCTTGTCACCTCCCTTTACAGCTCTTGGTGAAGACAGTGCGACAGACATAAGACAGTCAAGCGTACCTGCCAGAACCTTCTCAGCGAAGCAGCCGTAAAACTAGGTCATGCTCCCTCCCTCCTGGATTGTACTGCCCGTCCCATATCCGTGCTGTTCACTTCCCTGCGTTCTTTCTGAGGGTCCCTCCACGCTCCCCTCTCGGAGGGACGTCAGTCGCCATAGAAACCATGCAGTGTGGGGGTTTGAAAACTGCAAACGAGGAGGAGCTCCCAGAGCACAAGGAAGCACGGCAAGCGGACCTGCCCAGAGCTGCAGTGACCATGCCGCCCGCTTCACGGACAGAGAGTGGAGGGGGTGCTCACAGCGGCTGGGACGGCTGGCCGCCCAGACCTCAAACTCGGAAACCCTCTGTGTGGTCAGACCGCGAACTCCTGTTTCCTGCCGTCCGTGCCCCACGAGTGCCCATCGCACACAGCCTTCTGTCGCCCTCTCAGCGGCACCCTCAGCCCCCTTAAACTCATTTTTATTTTTTTATTGTGGCAACACAGCATCTTCGCCACCTTCCAGTGCAAGGCCAGCAGCATCGAGCACGTTCACGCTGCTGCACAACCGTCGCCACCATATGCACGCCCAGAACCTTCCCACCTTCCTCAGACCAAAACCTCATGCTCCTGGCGCAGGCTGAACTGCGTCCCCCTTCCCCACTCCCTTCACGTGCTGAAGTCCTAATCCCCACAGCTCAGAACATGACTGTATTTGGAGACAGGTCTTTAAAGACGTGATTAAGTTAAAATGAGGTCGCTGGGCTTGCCCCTAACCCAATCTGACTGGTGTCCTTTTAAGAGAAGGAGATTAGGACACAGACACACACAGAGGGACGCCCGTCTGCAAGCCCTGGGGAGAGGCCTCAGGAGGAACCAGCCCTGTCGACACCTTCATCTTGGACTTCCGGCCTCCAGAACTTTCAGAAAATAAATTGCTATCGTTTACGTCACTCAGCCTGGGGTACTTTGTTATGGCAGCCCAAGCTGACTGATACACCCACTAAACAATACTCCCCCTACCCCACCTCCCGTCCTTGGAAAACAGTTCAGTAATGAAATGGTCAGAGTATTATGTTTAATACTGCCATTTTAAAAAATAAATCTATTTATTTATTTATTTTATTTTTGGCTGCATTGGATCTTCGTTGCTGTGCGCGGGCTTTCTCTAGTTGCGGCAAGCAGGGGCTACTCTTCATTGTGGTGCACAGGCTTCCCATGGCGGTGGCTTCTCTCGTTGCGGAGCACGGGCTCTCGGCACGTGGGCTTCAGCAGTTGTGGCTCATGGGCTCCAGAGCGCAGGCTCAGTAGTTGTGGCGCACGGGCTTAGCTGCTCCGCAGCATGTGGGATCTTCCCCGACCAGGGCTCAAACCCACGTCCCCTGCACTGGCAGGCGGATTCTTAACCACTGCGCCACCAGGAAAGCCCCAGAGTATTATGTTTAAAGTTCGAATTATTACAAATACGTGATCATTATTTTCTCTGTGTGCTTATGTTACTAATTTGATATACGATTAGTTTCAAAATAAATTTGTTCACAACTATAGATTTTGGTGTTTTACTTCTCATTTTCTTTTGTGAATATGTCAATATTTACCTGGCTCAAAAGTTAGAAAAATAAAAGAAAAGATTCATCCAGGGACATCTTGCTGCTGCTCCTGCCTCCTCTACCTCTCCCCTCTCACTCCCCATGGCTCATCATTTTAACTATTCTGTTTTTTCTTTCAAAGCAATTGTTTTTGCAAAAATAATTTTTTTTTTTTTTTTTTTTTTTTTACATAGAAGGTAGCATGCTACAGACCCACCCTATTCGCGCCAGTTTTTTCCCCTTTTAACGTATTCTGGAGGTTATTTCATATCACAAACAGGCCAAGAGCTCTTCCTCTGTCTTAGGGCTGTGCAGTGCTCCTCTGTGTGGGCGGAGTACAGATTACTCTGGCCATCTCTCATCAAAACCCATTTGTGTGACATCCAACCTCTCGTTTATTAAACATCGGACTGTAACGAATCACTGGGAATGTTTATTCCATCTTTGTGAAGGTGTGCCTTCAGGGTGTATGTCTAGGTGGCAAGGTTGTTTGGTTGAAAGGTGCGTGCAGGTGCCATTTCAGTAGAAGTCGCCCACTTGCCGTCCACGTGGGATGTGCTGGGTTGAATCTCTCAGCCTCCCAACAAAGCAGGTCGTTCAGTGTTTGTATTCTTGCCCTTAAGACAGAGGAGAAAGTATAGGTCTAACATCTCCTTACGTTTCAAGAGTCACTTGTATTTCTTTTCTGGTAAACTGAGAATTTCTGTCTTTGCTTGCAGGGTTTTGCATTTCTTGATATTTAAGAGCTCTTTGTATACGAGCTGGTCATCTGTGCTTTGACTTGATGTTGTGTTTAAGCTACAGAAGATTTTTATTTGAAAAACTTGTCAATCTTGGGACTTCCCATGTGCTGCATTGGTTAAGAATCCGCCTGCCAATGCAGGGGACACGGGTTTGATCCCTGGTCCGGGAGGATCCCACATGCCGTGGAACAACTAAGCCCATGCATCACAACTACTGAGCCTGTGCTCTAGAGCCCGTGAGCCACAACTACTGAAGTCTGCACGCCTAGGGCCCGTGCTCTGCAGCAGGAGAAGATGCCGCAATGAGAAGCCCGTGCACCACAATGAAGAGTAGCCCCCGCTCGCCGCAACTAGAGAAAGCCCGCATGCAGCAACGAAGACCCAACGCAGCCAAAAATAAATAAATAAAAAATAAATTCATTTAAAAAAGAACAGCTTGAGCACTAGTTGCTTTAAAAAAAAAAAAAACCCTTAAAAAATTATCAATCTTTTCTTTTTATTGCTTCTGAGTTTTGATTCTTAGTTATAAAAGCCTTCTCTACTCCAGGGCTATAAAGGAACTCAGCATTTTTTCTATGAGTTCCTTTATGGTTTCATTTCTTGTGGGCGGGGGGAAAACATATACATAACATAAAATTTACATTAACCTTTTTTTTTTTTTTTGGCCATGCCGCACGGCATGTGGGATCTTAGTTCCCCGACCAGGGATCAAACCCATGCCCCCTGCAGTGGAAGCGCTGAGTCTTACCCACTGGACAACCAGGAGGTCCTACATTAACCATTCTTAGGTGCACAGCTCAGTGGCATCAAGTACATTCACACTTCTGTGCAACCATCGCACCATCATCTCCAGATTTGGTTTCATTTTCTACATGTTAATCTTTGATCCACCTGCAGCTTATCGTGGTACCTGGTATGAGACACGATCTCTTTCCCGACGGTTCTTTTCCTCTTAAAATCGAGGTGAAGTTCACATAACACGATGTTAACCATTGTAAAGTGTGCCAATTCGGTGGCATTTTGTATATTCACAACGCTGTTCAACCACCTCTATCAAGTTCCTAAATGGTTCTTAATTGTTCTAGCGGAATTTATGAAGAAGTCCCTCATCAGCTCACTGAACTGTGGCGCCCCCCCGATCCCATGTGAAGGTTCCCCTTTCACTGGAGCCTGGCCTGTTTCTGGAGGAGGGCTGCTCGGTTCTGCCGGCCTGCCTGCTCACAAGTCAGCCCCCGTGACGAGCGCGTTGCAGTGCTACCCGCCCCGGCCGCCCCGCAGGCCCTCCCGCGCTCCTTTCCACTGTCCCATGGCTGCCTCTCCCCGCGACGCACACTGTGCGCCCCGCCCGCGCCTGCCCGCTCTCCCCGCTCTGGCACGCTCCTCCCAGAGCTGCAGATCCGCCTCATGAACCCCTGGTCAGAAGAATCCCCCGACTGTCCTGTTGATCCTCAAACAGCTTCCAAAGTGGCTCCGCTCCCGGGTTTGATTCACCTTCTGAATCATTCAGGCTCAAAACGGGCCTGCTGTCTCTGACCTTCATTCTATCCTATGTCGAGCTGGTCCCCAAACCCTTCCAGATTTCTAGGTCCTCAGCCTCCTGGATCGGCCTGCTCCTTTGCATGCCTACGCCCCTAGCGGGGGGTGAGACGCTCCTCGCCTTTTCCCTGGCGACAGCTTCCCACCCAGCCCCCTGCCTGCCCTAACCCCCTCTGCACCCCTCTGGAAGCTGCTCTGATCCTGCAGGGCTCAGAGTCTCCACTGTTTCAGAGCTCGGTCCGCGTGTGCCAGCCCAGTTTTCGGGGCCTCTGGTAAAGGCTCCTACTGGTCCTGCTCCCTCACTAGAAAGCACAATCGGAGCCACACTCACACCCACCCCCCGCCCGCTGCCCCTCCAAGCACATCCACGCTTTTCTGCTGCGCCTCTCATGCAGCAGCCCCCTGCTGCGGGGCCCTCAGCCCTGCACCAGGCCAGGAGCAAACCCTCTAAGGCCCATCGCCACTCCTAACCCTTCCACGGAGTCAATTCCCTCCACACAGGTGCAAGTTTCCCCTTCCCCCCCAACCAGGTCTTGTCTCTATCACAGGTGAGCTGACCGGAGCTCCCCCCCCCTTCTCTCCTCCAGCACCACTCCTCCCCCATGGACCGAGGGGCCCTAGAGCCCGGCTGACAAGCAGC